TAACAAACAAGCAGATACGCAACAATATATATATATATATATATCCATTTTTTACAAAATTATGAATTTCGGCGTTGCTGATAACAAGTGGATTTTCTTGAAACTGCCTAACTCTGTGATAAATGGTGAATTGGATGATAGACTGAGTTTCACGTTTTTCTCTTGAAAAAATTCACAATTTTAGTGAAGAGATAAAAACGTTATATTAAGCGTAAAAATATCATAGTTGTCAAATTCTAAGTGTTACACTATTACAAAATGCAATAATTTTATTGTAAGAACTGAACAAATTCGCAATAATATAATTGCTAAAAATATTTTACTAATTGGCTAAGACTGAAAACATAGCTGTCAACAATATCATTAAAATTATATTGCAGTAATATTCTACTGGAGAAGAATAGTAGACTATTCGAAAGCGCTCGAGTTTTGGGTCTCGTTTGAAAACCATTATAACTTTTGTATGTGATTCTGAGTGATAACTTTTTAATCAGAAATGCATATTTAAAGTTATAGTTCGGCGAGGTTTTAATAATTTACAAATGTTTTATAATAAATCAAAACGTATCACGAAATACCATGAAAGTACATACACTCGTCAAGAACTATTTGCCACTGTACTGCCCGAAAATAAAGTTGAAAATAATATAAATAAGGTGAGTGTATATCAAAGTCACATTGGGCTATCTGCTATGTCTACCGAGGGCAATCGAATCCCTAATCTCAGCGTTGTAAATCCGTAGACTTACCGCTGTCTCACCGGGGGACTATACAGAAAAAAAAATAAAATGTTGAATAATAGCAAAAAAGAAACAGCTCCTGGTTTTCATTTCTTTATTCCGACTTTCAAGTCTATTTCAATATATTTATACCATTACGCTTTCGTTACATTATATATGATAGTAATAATTCGTCCTTCGCATTAACGTTTTGTATTCGTCTATACTAATTAAAGTAAGAGGTTTAGTGTACCTGATTAGTTATGAAGGTTTTATGAAACCTATTTTAGTATGTATTATGAATTATTTGTTTATGTTTGTTTGGTGGTAAGCACAAAGCTACACAATGGATGTTGGAGTTTAAATATGTAAACATAGGCTGGGATTCGTTTACGGTAGGTGTGTGTGACTTGTTGGCGATAAATTCGAACAATAAATGGACATCACACAATCCTCTTGTTTCAAAATAATATATTCAAAACAAGTCAAACGTATTTACAAAATTCTTTACACTGTAGGATATCACAGTTTTATCTAAAACTAAATAATTCTCTTTTCTTGTCAAAAATTTACACAGACTGAGTCAATTACCTTAGAATTCAATAGCCAACATGAATTATTTTTCTCTACTCTTATCACAATAGTATCAATGAATAATTCATTTACGTTACTCAGTGGTTTATCACAGTCGTACCCTGAACTTTAAATAATTTTCTCCTTTCCGTCAAAGTCCACACAGACGGGTTCAATTACTTTAGAACAACCTTTGAAAAGACACATTATTCTCCCTTATCTCTGTTAACTGTGAAACTTACTTTAAGATATCAACCGTTTAGGCTAATCACTCACACGCCGGTTAACTTCACGTTTTCTAACTTTTTTCTGACTGAACTTTTACTTGAATTCACTTTACTTTTTCTCTACTTCACTTGCGCTCGCTAGTCACCTATGTTTATATGTTGTTCACTAAGGCCCCGAACTTTCTATAAACTCCACGAGCGACATTCTAATGTAACAATAGTCAGTTAAGGCAACGAGAAAAATACCGAAGATTCGAGTAACGTGACGTCAACAATATTAGTAAAGCCTAGCCAACAATGTAATTGCAAACACACAACGTACAATTCGTACAGAGTTATGTAACAAAAATTTGTCACAGCTAACACATTTAAAACAATCAATCTTCAACACTGCTGTCATGAAAACTAAACGATCATTAGCTATTAAGTCATAAAATAAACTAAATAATAACATTTACACTAAACAGTTTTGTATATCCAACAATGAACTATCTGTGCTCTGCTCACTGCAGGTGTCGCAACCAGATTTTTAGCGTTATAAGCCCATTGACTTACTACTGACCCAACGGGAGCATTAATATAAATATTATAACTCTGTTTAAGCAATGTGTAATTCACAAATATTTTACAATTGGTATTTTGTCATTTTGTGACACTTGTTAGTGTAATTTGCAAATAAAAATGAAAAAATATAACATTCACTTCTGGAAAGATGGAGGGAACCTCTTTGGTAAACAACGTACTACTCGATTTTTACCAATGAGACTTCTTAGATTTTCACAGAAATGAAGGGTTTTTATTTTCTAAGACAGCAAAATATTCTGATGACTCAAATCCTTATTTATTGAATATTATTTTTAAGCTTATCATATTCAATGAATACACGTAAACAAAAGTTCAGTAGTGTCCTGGGACACTCCCATTCCTGTTCCTTGTGTTGGTTGTCCTTGCATAACATATATGCTAAAGTGGCACTCCAGCATGTTGCCTAAGTTTGATAATGGCTTCTCCACCACATCACAACCCGTAAGTTGCTTGGGGCTCTGCTGGGAACTTCTAGGTTCCTGGCCTTCCTGCCAAGAATGTTGAAGGTGTGGAAGTAACAGTAATGGTAACTTCGAAGTCACAGAGGCCATGGTAGCTATTCACCGTTCTAAATTTGCATGTTGGAGGGATCGAGTTTTATGTGGTAGCCAAAGATGAGACACTTGAATTGCTGATGGATGACACAACTTTGGTGTGTTTGGGAATGTTGGGATTAGAGCTGCTGCTCATTTTCTTAACATGTCATATTTATCTTCATGCTCTAATGGTGAGATGGTCTAGAATATGAGAGCCAGTAGGAATTAGTCAATGTCTATTGGTGAAGCAACTGGATAACCATCCATATCAATAAACATAAGGGTAAATGGAATCTTACTCAAAACCTGCAACTTCACTATACGTTTAGCACTGAGATATAATGTGTTTTCCATAATGATGGAATATAGTTTTGTAATTAAATTTCAAAATAAGCAAAATTTTTAAAAATACAACATGGGTCACAGCAACTATGATCATTCTGAATGCTGCCCTGTACTAATTAAACAAACGATGAAAGCAATTATATCGGTACTCGCCAACCTATCTGGAGGTAGATCAAATTTAAGATTTTAGTATAGCGGGGCGATTGGTCAAACCTCCATTCCAACTATACGCTGAAGTTTTCTTAAGCTATAAATAGAATCAAATGCAAAGGTTTTAAAAACAATGTCTAAAACGAAATGTCCTGCTTCGGCAGTGTTCTATACCACACTAAACCAAAACCTTATCTCTCATATGTTTAACGTTTGCCAACATATCATGGTTGAGTACTGTTCTACTTGCAAGCCAAGTGCCACCCTTTGGTATTCCACTGGATGGTACAAGAAAAATACAACTGTCTGAGTGCTGCAAGGAGCATAAATTGTAACACTGTAGAAGAAGCATCATCAAACAGACCTTATATAATGCAGCATCAACTAAACTGTTGTTTCACTTGTTTGCAGCTACAAAAGCTGCTGATTCCTCTCTTGACCCTTGTGCATGGCAGTCACCACCACTAAAGAAAAAACAAGAACATTGAATTAAACTAAATTTTGCACGTTTTGTCACACATTAGCATAAAAACCTCTTAGAATAAAATGTTACAACTCTGCCTATTTTCTCTACTGTACACTATAACATCAAAGTTGGGTTTTCTGAATGTTCTTTGAAAGACAGCTACTGCACAAGCAAGCTATTATCATTCAAAACCTCAAACTAT